GTCTTCAGTTAAGTCAACCTCCTTCTTACACAACCCTTGAGAGAGGTTTTTGGGAGTGAAAGTGGTGGGGAAAATGAAGACTCTTTTCCTTTCCTTTTTTGTTTTTTAAAGGTATGACTGTTTTGTGACTTGGCTTCTTTTGCAGCCAGTTACATGCGGCTAATCAGCCTGGGGGTAGGGAAATACATTCTGAGGCTGAGAACCAAATTACTTTAATGCTCTGTGATTTATTATAGGCACCCTGGTTTTTCATCAGTCTAATGCAATGTCTGGCGTATATTCAGAAAAAACTTTAAATGATCCATCTGGCTTTACCATCCCCATGATTAAAAGCCCAGGTTCTGGGTCGCCTTTGAGATGGAGGTAACTTAGTCTCAGCATACCTTTTAACAGACTGCGGCTTTGCAACTCCCCCTGCTTATCTTGGGCTTCTACCTGAAGGAGGATATCTCTTTGACCAGGGTGCAAGGATAAGCATCCTAAGTCAGTGGAACTCCGTGGAGTAATGGAGGTTGGTTAATTATACCCCAAGGTCTGAGTAGACTCTGCAAGAGGTAGGGCTTTAGCCATTGCCCACTGGCTAAAGTACTGGGGTAGGAACATTTGCTTGCTTTTGCATGGCAGTCAGTAATTTATATATACACATGCATGTAATATTCGCCAAAAGCATAGCCTTCTTGCAGGTCTGCATTCTGAGCGGCTCAAAGGCAGATAACACAGATCTCTTCACCTGACTACCACTAGTACTCCCAATTGCAACAGCTAAGAAATTTGGAAACGTGGTTGAGAAGCAACACGCTGCAACTTTTCCAATGCCTGCTCATCCTAACATGCACCCACCACTGACAGACTACTGGCAGCTATGGGAAGAATGATTAAGGTCCATTTGACCCACCCTCCATATTAACAATAGGGGTCCATCTCGCAGCCAGTGTATTTAATTTCCTGCTTAACAGGGAAGCCCAGAAGGTGACTACAAACAAAGTTTGAAAAGATCCACATCTGTCACATATAGGAATGCACACGTGATTAGCGGCTGAAAAGCAAATGGGATATTGGAAGTAAAAGCTAAAAATATTTATGGCAAATAAAAATGTCAGGCTACACATTTTAGTCTGCTTGGCAGTAAATCTTTGGCAGCAAAATTTCCATTTCAGTTGCGTATGGGATCGTTTGCTGAATGCCCTCCTAAGCATCTCTGCATTTACTCTTAGTTCACCGCTGCTGGCACTGCACTTGTGCTGTCGCTACCCAGTGCTGCTCTTGCTGCTACTGCATTAAGATATGACACATTCAGGTGCTGTTGAGAACTGCAGCACAGCCACAGCTGCTTTGTTCTTCCCTGCTGAAATGATCCTATGGGCAATCAGCCGCATTCAAAAGGCAAATCCAATGCGATCAGCATGAAGGTTTTAGGGCTCAGATGACTGAGAATTGTTCAGTGTGATGTAAATGGCCCATAATCCAGCCACATCACCAGGATTCTTTGTGGACTTGAAAATGATGGAATTCTACTTATTGGCAGATTTAACACGGCTGATAAGGCTGTGAAACTGAGGAAACCACTTCCTCCTTTCCCTGGAACATGCTTCATAGATTTTTAATAGATTTCAGATGTTAGGGCTGGAAGGGATCTTGCGGGATCATCGGGTCCATATCCCTGCTTCAGCCTAAGTTTATTCAGACTATATAAGCAGACAAGGTTCTATGGGTAAATGTGATATCTGTTATTAGTCCAACTAAATAGTTGGAAAATGTGTTCTTTGCAAGCTTTTGGGTACAAACACCCTTCTTCAGGCAGAAGGAGAGTCAGAAGAAGGCTGTTTGGGAGAACTTTGCAAGCTTTCAAGTACAAACAGCCTTCTTCTGACTCTCCTTCTGCCTGAAGAAGGGTGTTTGGGCAAATACGATATCTTTTATTAGAGTGGGAAAGCTTTGCAAGCTTTCAAGTCCAGTCTAATAAAAGATATCGTATTTGCCCCAGCACCCTTCTTCAAGCAGAGGGAAAGTCAGAAGAAGGGTGCTGTAGCCAGAAGCTTGCAGAGAACAATTTTTCCAGTTATTTAGTTGGTCTAATAAAAGATATCAGATTTACCCAAAGAACCTTGTCTGCCTCTGTCCTTAGACCAACACGGCTACAACCTACACCTTCAGGCTATAATATATGTATTTTTTTTGCTTGGTTTTCAATATCGATGACTTGCCACTTCTAATGTAGCTGTAAGAATGTCAGAGTGAGAACAGAAATAATTTGCATGCCTTGTTATAATTAGACTACAGGGGTGTTTTTAATCACTTAGTAGTCTGTATTTACTGGATTAATACAAACAAATGTCTTAATGGCAGCGATCAGTCATAGTTTGTAACTAAGTTTTCAGATTCCCAGGGATGCCAGGGGATTTGTGGAGTGAAATGTCTGAGCAGACTCTGTGACCTGCCGCATACCAAAGGTTTGCTTAACGGAAACTTACAGCTGAATGTTTAGCCGACTGAGTCAGCAGGCCCTAATTCCTTGTAACTGCGCCTGCCAGAATCCGAACTTCTGCTCGACTATAAAAAGAAGCTCGATTCTAAGAGAGATTCCCTTTATTGCCGGAGGAAGCCACTGTTTTGGTTTAGGGTCTCAATTTATTTTAATGAGCCTGGAGAGCATCAGAAGAAATCTTACAAAGATAGAACATCTGATGTTAATAGACTTATGTGAATGAGTCTCCTACAGGGTGCATGCATTTAAGGGCAGACGTGCTTTCATCAAGAGAAGTGATAGGTGCCAATCTTGTGCACATTAAAGTTCACAATGGAAAAGTCTTGACTGCACCAGGCTCTCCAGAACTTGGGTGACTTGATAACCCTTGCCTAAAAACTAGGGTTTTGGTTTTTTTTCACCGCATAGGCTTTCTGCCCACGTGAGAAACTGTCCCTCATCTCCATACACTAAACGTGGTTGAATTATGAATTCAACCATGTTTAGTGTATAAACACTTCGGGATAAATTTAGTTTTTGCAATTTGTAATCGCCATGTATTGTGGTGTACTGTGAGGCTATATGCCAGACTTCCTACGCAGCTGGGCATTAAAAAATAATTAAATTGTACACTGGTATTGTTAGCATGCAGCCATGCACTACCAGGTCTGTTTAGGAAGATAAAGATTTTGTCCTGAAGGGCTTTCCGTGTAAAAAGACAGTTGTCTCTGGTTGATCAATGGAAAGAGACCACAGTAGTCTGTGTCTCGGTAACTAGAAGAACTGAGAGCTAAAGCTAATATACTGTTAGTGTCTGAGTTGCAATGGCTGCAAGATAAGCTTTAGCAAATTTAACAAAGCAATAGATGCATATTTCTGCAATTTTGCGGGGGGAGAAAGCAAGATTTTTATTGCTAGATTACCTAGTATTGACCTCAAGGTGGAGCAAGGGTCCAGGTTTTATACGATCTTAGATTTGTTTTCTTTCTCCTTCCTGACAATCAAAGAAATGCAGTTTAAGTGTTTTTTTTGTTTTGTTTTGTTTTGTTTTTTTTTACACCTTGTTCTTAATAGGGAAAATCAGAATGCTTTGAAAAGACTAGAAACTTAAGACAGATCAACGGCACTAACGAAAATTTACCTTTACAAAAATTCTGATTGTTGAAGTAAAAATAGCACACTTAAGTTACATTATAGACCTTGGAAGGTTATTGGCGGACATATAGGAGCTTTGAAATAACACTGTTTGCACTGAAAACGGAATAAAGGGGACACCGGAAAAGGAGGGAGGAACATAAATGATCCTAAAAAGCTGCCTAGTTGAGTTTATACCTTTCTGATTTTTATGCTGTACATCTCATTCTGTACCATGGAGATTATATCCGGCCCTCTTCAATGCTCTGGAAAAATGAGGACTCTTCAAACAGCTTTTAAACAGCTCATGGTATTGAGACCCTGCAGTATAAATCTTACCACCTCAGAGGCTCCTTGACATCCTTCCATCTTCTCTTCTTGCCTCTATTTTTGTTTAGCTGACCGTCTTTGCTTTCCATGGCTTGTGGCAGTTCATAGCAGCGATCTCAAATGTGGGAAGTTGCTCCTGCTCTTGGATTGGGTTGTGGTTTGAAAGGGCAACTTTAGAAATACTTGTTGAATTTCTTCATGTGCATATTTATACTTGGGGTCATTCATCTGAAATGGGCCTTATTCAAGAGCATTGGCGTATATTTAAAATAGTGGCTGGTAAGAAAGTAGTTTGAGCAGCTAAGCAATTTTTTTGGGGTATGAATCTGTTCCCATGGTCTCCGTATTTTTTTCATATGCAGTAAATAATGATGTTTAGACCACTTTCACCATTCTCTTGGGTAGACCAATAATCGATTACCAATTTCAGTTGTTCCGTGCCTGGGAAGCTGGGTTTTCAGTTACAAGAACGCATGGAATAGATGACATCTTTCATGAGAAGGCCCTTGCTTTGCTTTTTCACAAATACACTATGTGAGCTTCTGCTTGGGCCTGGAACAGGAGAACTTCCCTAATGTTCTTACTGTACCTCTTTCACATGACAATGAAAGGGGCTGCGTTGTTCATACGTAGAGCATACAAGGACACCCACACAGGATATTTTACTCTGATATGACTGAAATAAACCCAGAGGCATTTGAAGATGCTTTCTTGCATGAGGTATATAGTTAGTCTGTGGAATTCAGCAGTCCAAATACAGAAGTGGTAAAATTACTGATTTGGATAGTTAGGAAGAGCTTCATCCTATTCCTGTTCCAGTGAAAGTGTCCTATTTTTATACAAGTCCAGATGCTATGTGCTAAGAATGGGAATAGTGTTGGCAGCAGTTAGATTAAATTTGGTTTGATAGGTTGAAAATGGGTTGTGGGTTTTGTGCGTGTGCAAGGAACCGGCTGGACAGACCCTTTCACATATAGTCCCTGTAGACTCTTTTTGTAAGTGTGAAATCTTGTGTTTGGAATTGAGGTTTTGGTAGTGTTTAATTCCTACCTGCATTTTGTTTTTCTTTCAGATGGGAGGAGGAGTTGGCAAAGCGAATGAATCTGGAGTCTATGGTAGAAACCCTGCAAGAGGTAGGTTCTGAGTAGAATCTGGATTTTCTTAATTTTGGCATCCGTCATCCCTCTGATTTCTCAGACTGAAGTATTTTGTGGTAGCCATTTTGTTTTCCCACCTTTTGAATCTGGTTGCCAAATTGATATTTTTGGTTGGGATTGAATTAAATGTTGATACCGGCAGTCTCAAAAAATTGCTGACAGTATCTTCTGCCAGATAGAGTTGCTAATATGCAAAGCTGTATGTTGCCCAACATTGAATCTTGAGACTGAAGTAGGAGGAATGCCTCTGTCTGGCTCATATGTTTAATTTTCAACATGTATAGTAAATAGGAAGGTTAATCCTCTGTCATCTCTTCTGTGGAAGGCAATCTCTAATTTAACTGAAAGAGGAAAGAGAGATTCTTTGGTGAGCTCAGATATAGCAGTTCAAGTCATTGGCTTGTCATTGTTGTAGTCCTTTATGAATAAATTAAATAATGGATTATTTGGATGTTTTTCCCTCCTATATAGGAAGCTTCTAGTGTAACCATGTGAACGTAAGGGAAATCTTGTGATATCACCTGTGTCACTCCGGTCTGAATAGCACGTTAGACCAGGCCTAAAATTATGCTCGTTCAAGCTCCTTTCCCCATCTGAGTCGTTTTGTTGCTGCAGATGGCATTTGCAGCCATGCCCTCCCATGCTGTTCTTCACCCGTGTAAAGCTAAGTCGTTCAGTGAATGCTACTTGATCTTTTTAGCTGTTTGCTTTCTTTTCCTCATAGGAGGCACAAGAAGCTGAAGCTATCCAGGAAGAGTTAAATGAAAAGATTGAGAGGCTGAAAGCAGAGCTGGTTGTCTTTAAGGGTCTGATGAGTGATGTAAGTACCCTGGAAAGCAGAGTGGCCCATTCCCACCCGCCTTTTGTGAAATGTTATCTGTGTCATGCAAATGGCTTCATTCATAAAAAAGGTTATGGTTTTAGTGAGTGCTGCTTTGTAGTTTAGTATTATGGCTGCCTTTATGATCTAATGCATCAGACAGATCACCCTTCCCCCTGCTTCCTGTTTGGTCTGTGTAGAGATGCATTAACTTGCTGCTTAGCCCATAACCCTGACTTCCCCACCCCCTTCCCAACAGCTAGCAGTGCTGGCATTCAAACCTGTAGCCTCTGGAAGGATGTAGCTGAGAATCCTCATGCTTTTAGGGTAAAAAGTTCAGCCACCATGTAGCCACCAGTATGTTTTATAATGGAGGGAAATTTTGATCTGAGTCATACAGCTATTGTCAGAAAGGAAAACTAAAATGGTGCTCAGCTCTATCATTATGACAGATTCCGTAGAAACTGAGCTAGCTTAACTGTGCCGTCAGTTCAGACATGGCTGTTTACACTGCAGCTACCTCCTTTTTAACTAGCTACTTCCCTGGAGCTTTTCCTTCCATCTCCATTTAGCTGAATTCCTCTCAAATCGGTGGGATCTGTTGATATCACGATTGGTCATCTTGAGAATATTATCTGACAGTCTGGAGAGAGTCATTGTACATGGTGTCTGTGTGTCGGGTTAGTGGGTAAAGCACATGATACCACTATTCACTTGGCCTCGTTAGGACTGAAGTGCTGCTGATAGTAGCAGCGTAGCTAAGATGCTTCACTAGCTAAAATACTTCATGGTACGTACCTAGCTGGTACTTCAATAAAAAACTGTTATTCCCCACCTTTTCTCGGCTGATGTGTACTTGCACAATCTGCTCTCTGAAGTCAGATGCATTCTCTTGGGGCTAATAGGCTTGATCATAGAAAAAAAATCAGTGATTTAGCTTTCTTCTCTCTGGGTGGTTAATTAACTTGTTGGGCTAAATGCAGTGTGAAGGGCAGCAGTTGGTTGGAGCTGCATCTTTTCTTCCCTAACTTTTCACTGAGGAAGAAATGCTGCTCTGACTGCCGCTCTGGGTGGTAGTAAATACAGATCTTGCAATGTCCTCGAGTACATAAAAGAACAACTGCTTTCCCTAGACTTTCTGAGCTCTTCGAGTTGGATCTAGACCAGCCTGTGGAAGGCATTAATGAAATGTGTTTGAAAGCTGCTATGCAAATATGTAGAACAAAAGGAATTTAAATGACTTGCAGCTGATGAGTTTACAGGACAATAATAATACATTGATGCAAATCATCTTTACCAAAACTTCCTTTCCTCAAACATTTCCCCCCCCACTTTTTTATATAGATAATTTTTCCTTGAAATGTGTGTTTTGATTATTCCCATCCCCCTCTGCAAGACTACAGTGGTTGTCACTAGTCAGCCTATTCTGTTTTAGGGAAGGCCTACCCTAGATGAGGGAGATCTATAAAAAATAAAATGTTTTTCTGGCTTGATTAATAAAAGTTTTTAACTTGGGAAGTAAATTGCACAATTAAATGTTACCTTTGACCTCTGAAAGAGGTTTTCCCCAAATATTTTGTCAAAGGAGGGACCGTAACTTGCCATCAGGTCTGTTTTTTTTCACTAAGAAATCAAATATTATCTAAGCCAGAAAACTGCCTCACAAGACATCATCAATAAACCTATGGGAAAGAAGGGAAATGGCCATTAGAAGCAACAGCCATAATTCCTCAACATGCGGCTCTGCATTGTCATACAATGTTTAGCGGGGATGGTTATGGTCTTGGGTACTGCAAGAAGTCTGATGTTTGTAGAGCCAGCCTTTTGTTTAATTTTTTATTGCATCTATGAGGTTGCTACATATTTTGTTAGATTCTACTTCAAAATGCGACTTTTCTTTTACAGCAAACTGCTCTTTTTCTAGCTTTTGGAGTGGGGAAGTGATGAAGTCTCAAGTCCTTGAATTTCAGTCTTCTTTTGATCAATCTATATTTTTTCCCTTTTCTTATACTAGCTTAAACTTGCCCATAAAAGATTTTTTACTTTTGGCAGATGTAAGATTTTTGGGGGGGTTGGGGTAGGTTTCTTACTAGCCAGTTCCTTCTCTAATACTTGAGTTCATTGGAATCCAGTTGGAAAGTGTTAATTCCAGTAGCTGACTTGTCTAATCTGTTAGACTACCCATGTGCTGCCTTTCCCTGGAGAAGAAGCTTTAATGTGGTATGAGAATGTGTTCTGGGGTTACAGAGATACTATGGGGTATCTCTCTTCTCTCCTGAACTGTATGACAATAGAAGATAATTCACTACTGTCCTTCCTGCAGCCCATGACAGACCTGGACACAAAGATCCAAGAAAAGGCCATGAAGGTGGACATGGACATCTGCCGGCGAATCGATATCACAGCCAAGCTGTGCGATGTAGCACAGCAGCGCAACTCCGAAGACGTTTCCAAGATATTCCAGGTGATTAGGCCCTGAATTTTTCCTAGGGCAGGACAGTGTGGCAGTAGGAGGGGGAGAGGCAGGGGGAGGAGTGTTGGAGGAGTTTGATTCAGCTCAAACGTCATCCAACTTCCTCTGCTCATTTTCTTTTTATTCTTCATGATTCTCCAGTTGTAGCTCTGATCCACATATATGGCTGCAGAATTAAGACTGCAGTGTTTATGGGAAGTCTTCAAAAGAAGTCTCAGAAAGGCCCATGAAACATGCTATTAAAGGGTGGTGGAAGGCAGTGACTGTAGGCAGAAGCATCGTGGGACTCCAGATGTGTCCAAATGGCTCCATCAGATTTTGTTCTCTTCATAGATAAGACCTGCACGTGCCTCCTGTGATCTGAAAGTCAAACTCTCTTATTTCTGGCTTATGCACCATGGCTAGAAATAACACGTCTGTGATTGGTAGTTAGCCGATAGATAGAATTACCATATGTAAGTGAGAATCGAAGGTCCAGCTCACTCTCCCATAGCTTTAATGGCTCTGTAGCTCAACAGGAGAAAAGTCATAATTTAATTTGCTCCAAAAGTGAGCCGCTTTAGCTCAACACACACACTGAAGAGCAGAACGGTGCCTCTTAACACAGTCAGTCTTCTGATTGACTGATTAATCTTCCTTCTCATTTACCTTAAAACGTCTCTCATTCAAACCTGTGCGTTCTGCTGTGGCAGACAGTCTCTGCTTCTCTTGACCATTCAACTTAGCTGTGGGTCTACATGTGATGGGGAGTAAGTTTTCCACGACACAGTCAACTATTTAGCGTGCGTTTAAATGCATACTTAAACGCACACATGAGCTCCCATGGCTTCTTTTTAGCAATCTGGTGAGAAATGATCATCTTGTTAAAGAAAATTTTGCTCTGCTATGCTAAATTATACTAGTATTTTTTTTTTCTAGAGAGAGACTTTCTCTCTCTGATTTTGCAAATGGCAAAGCTGCCTATTTCTCTAACTTGAACCTGAAATTTTGATTGAGCATACAGTGGTTAAAATGACCTGTGCAAAAAGCAGCACCAGGTCTGAAATGTTCAGTTATCTGTTAGTGAAAATCAGAGTAGGTTGGGAACTTAGTGTCTGATGTATGCGCAACTACTTGGCACCCTCTCAAGGCATTCATGAATATCTGTTTGAGATGGAGACCCTCAGATAAAAGAAAGATCCTTCACTTTGCCAGGGGTAGCTTTTTGGTTTTCTTTGTGCACAGTGTTTCTTTGGGTTGCCCCAGCATTTCTGTGGTTCGATTCCCACATAACCATTATACTGTCAAACTGTACTAGCGGTCTGTGCCTCTGGTGAGGTGGGAGCAGCAAAGCAATCTATTACCCATGAAGGCATGTTGCATACTCTTGGTGCGAGTGACCAGCTCTAAACTTCCTGGGCCTATAATGATGGTGGCAGAAGAGGAAGAGTGCTCTGTCATTGCTCTTAAGCTTGCTGCTTGGGCACTCTTGCCAGCTTTTGCTTTCACCCTGTATCATTCTAACTTCCGCATGCCCTTTGGTAGATCATACAGTGTTGTCAGTGAATACACTACGAACGTACGTAGAGCGCTGGCAGTTCTGCAGCTTGCTTTGCTCTGTGCCATTTTGAACTGCTTGCTTGTGCTCTACGTTCACCACCTACTAATAGATGCAATTGCTGTCCTTTAATACGTGCAGTCACTTCAGCACCTGAATCGCTAGGAACTGGTGGACAGTAACTATATTCCGTCCGACCTAATGCCTCTCCTTTCTTATTTCGGCACCCCTTGGCGCAGCACCTCAGTTGAACCTTCTAGTCACTGCCCTTCTCTCCAATTAAGGTGGCCTCCAAAAAGAAAGAACGCAAGCTCACGTCTGACGACGACCTCTCTGAACAGGATGGAGACAACAGCAGATTCTCAGATGACGAAGTCAGCTGTTCTCTGAACATCACAGATGAAATGAAGCGCATGTTTAATCAGCTGTGAGTATTGTGGAGAACGTGTGTCTTTAACTTGGGGGAGGGGAGCACAGGTCAAAGTTGGCCCTCTATTCATCCCCAATATGTTTCTTTAAGCATCCAAAAGAAGCAGTTTTTCATCAAACATGCCATAGAGTAAGCTTAAATTTAACTCTAGTTTGTGGGCCTGGGGGTAACATTTAAATATTTTAATCTATTTTTGCCCCGGTCTTCCCTGCTTTACCTTTTGTCTTGCTTATCTCTACCTATTTACATTTTCACTGATATCCTTCCACACTTTTAGCTTCTCTCATTCCTTGGAGTCTCAGGCCAGCAGAGACTCCCTGTGCCTGATGAAGGGTGACTGCGCCCGAAAGCTGGCTAAGAACTTCTTTCCATCTACTCACTTGATCTAATAAAAGATATCACATCTACCCAAAGAACCTGGCCTGCCTATGTCCTTAGACCAATATGGCTACAACCAAAAACTCAACAAATAAATGACACTAAATAATGTATTTTCACTGACCTATGGAGGGAGTGAGGGGGAAGAGGCAGAATGGAAGGAATTATAAAAAATGAAATTAAATCACTAATTGCTGTATTTGTTGTTTTAAAAAATATTGGGCAATGAAGAAATATGAAGCTTTTGCCCTTGCTTATATCTGTCTGGCTAAATGTTAGATTTCCAGACTTGTGGGAAGAGCCTCTCCTTGCTTTGTCTACTTAGTAGGATATGAGATTTTTATTTATGCCCTTTAAAATCTTTTTACTTAGAGCTCAGTTCATCATGAATAAAGAATTTCTGTAGGAGAGTTTGGTATTAACTTTAGTCAAGGGGAAGGCAAGTCCTAATATAGAGGAGCTTATGATTGAGGAGCTTACAGTCTCCATCTCCAGGATTGCTAGTTATAGGTCTTTTAAGGACAGGAAGTAGCATATGAAAAAGTATACTATACTAGCTTAAAAGAATGAAACGATTGTACCAACTGCGGAGGAATTTTTTCACTGTAGAGGTTTGGGCAGGTTCTGTAGAGCTGAAAAGTCTGGGTGCTGTTAACTTAGGAACTGCCTGTTTTCTTACACCTCAGAGCTATTGCAGCATGGGATGGTGGGGTTCAGAAGTCCTATGCTCTTGCTCAGAGTAGCTCCATTAAAGCCAAATAGCTGTTCTGCCTTTACACCAGCTTAAGCAAGAAAACTGGGATCTCGTTTATGTGGTGAAATCCCTTCTCTAGCACTTTCCTAATTAGCAGGTCTTCCCAGTCTCTGGAGCATATACATTCCCTCTAAAGGACAGCCTGTTTTTCACTTGTGCCGTTAATCTGAAGATCCTTGGGTGTAAGACTAATTCATCTTCGCTGTCTCTTTCCTATTTTGTCCTACACATGCCATTGCCCTGCTCATGTGTGCCTGCTACTTTTGTTTCCAATGAATTACCAACACGCTCTTTTGTAATTTATAGTTTCATTATTAAGATGCCACAGACCTCATACAATGACTGTTTTTATAAATGCAAGTTTAATAAGTGAGAACTCCAGTATCAACAGCACCTGCTAGAAATTCTACCACGGACATCAAATGTGGTTGACCTATATGACGCAGCGTTCGTAGGATTACCCCAAAAATCCCTGTATAAAATAAACATTGTGGAGGAGCAGATTGATATATGCCTGGTTCTTAATGGATTTGTGAGATGGAAGAGTCTTGATTTATAGACCTCCAAACAGCCCAGCTTGTACCAACAGCAGAAAAGAAAATAACGTTTGTATTTAGAGTCCTAATGAATGCAGAACATCATTAAAGTGGTGGCTAGTGAAAGGCCTTATGTAGTCAAATAAAACAAACAACTGTTTTTTGAACAATGTGCCCAGCTGAAGTAAGCAGCAGTTTAAATTGGGAGGTAGCTATCCTTTCAACCAGTGAGAGCTCTTCCAGTGAAAAGAACTGATTAAAGAGAGTGAATTGGGAAGGGCGGGAGCACAAAAGTACAAGTTTTAAAAATCAGCTAGATGGGTGACGAATAATAATACTTTCTCCGCCTCCCCTCCTCTTGCCAAGTTCTTTAAACTCTTCGTAAGACAAAGTGTTGGACTCGGCTTCCGGCTTGAGATATTATCTACTTAAAAGGAAATGAACTCAGGAAACAAAAATGTGTCTGTAAGCCTGAAACTACGTAGAATATAAAAGGGTCCCGTTCTATTAGTAATCTCAAGCACTTTTTTCAGGCTGTACTTTTAACAAGGAAAAGAAAGTAGCTAGAGTAGGATTACAATTCTGCTGCTGTTCAAAGCTTGAGACTCTCAAGTGCTTAGTTTATAACTGATTTCTGTAGCAGCTGACCCATTTGAAGGGACTCAGACACATTTATATTGTTGAAGACCATTTTTCCCATGTATTATTAAGAAAGTATATATTGCTCAATATCACAAATTAATACTGACCTGAACACTAAACAAGTATAGATTTTTATGCTCTCCTGTTTCTTTGTGGTGTTAAAGAATAGGAACCAATGGTGACAGTTTCATTTGTTCATAGCTAGATTCTTCTTTGCAGCTACAATGCTCAGTTTGCAGGGAAATTTTTATGTAAAACCTTTCCATTTGATAGTAAAAAAAATTAAAGGAACTTATTCTTGGCTTTGTTTTCATTCCTTTGTAAACTTCCAAAAAACTGCTTTGCTGGGGTCAACGTTTCCTCCTGTATGAAGTGAATAGTTTTCAAACATTCTTGTGGTTATCAAGCTGTTCTGCGCTAGAACGGTAAACTTCTAGCACCATCTGGAGGCTAAATCTGGAATGGCCTGTTTTAAACTAAATCGATGTTGATAAGATTTCTGTGCTCCGCTACAGGGTGGCGAGAAGCCTAAGTATCAGCGTCTTGCAGACAATGGCAAGTCTCTTCTACTAACGTTTACATTTTTTAGCCCTTACTTTGCTGTGTTTCTTAATTCAATCTCCTAAGCACCACTTTTTTGGAAGGTGGTTCCAAAGACTCA